TTTAGTCTTTCGACGCTCTTGGTTCTCGCACGCCACGGAAATCTTTTTAAAAGATAATATTTAAGAAATACGATACGTACTTAATATCACCTTAATTTACAAAGACAATTCTATGTTTTACGTTTTCAACAACAAATTTTTTTCAGAACAATGAAATATGAATTAGGCGTGTCCTTTTATTTTCTTGGTTCATACGACAATGACGTTTAAATTTTTCCAAGCGAAGAAATTTCATTTTTTTAATGAAATAAAACAGTAATACTCGTGAAAAGATTTCCATAACTAATTTGAAAATTGGCACAATTCATTGGATTATATTATTTTACTCCAACTTGTCACGAGAGTACCTTTTTCCACGTGAAAAAAAAAGAAAAAAAAAGAAAAGAAATTTAAAGTACTATGCGATTATGGCGTATAAGACTAACTTGCCTTAAATAATAGTTGCAACAAATACCCTGTCATTTAACTCGAAAATCATCGATACCTTTCATTGCATTTGCAAAGAAAAAGAAAGAAGAAAAAAAAACGAAAAATAATAATATGACTTATGCGAATTTGTCACGTGAAATTTTATACGAATTATGATACAACTATGATACGTCCGACACACGCAAGGAATGCTGATAAAATAACCGAATGTCGTAGGTTAAGTTAATATTTTCTGATCTATCATTTAAATATAATTCGCGTACGATTTATTTGATTACGTAAAAATAAAATAAATTATCATTGTGAGTTGTGGTTTGTTTAAAAATTAATTTTTAATATAGAAATTATGTTAAATCACGTTTACCTATACTTAAACTAAACCTTTAAATCATTTAACATCATAGTAATAGACACATCAAACATTATATGCATTTATAAACATAAAATGTTGGTAGGTTTAGTATTAAAAAATGTAGTAATTAAATTATAAAAATTTAGTATTAAAATTCATTTATAAATCTACCAACATTCATATATACATCAAGTGTTGGTAGGTTTTTAGTATTAAAAAATTTAGACAAGTGACAAACACACACACACACCCATAGAACAAATATACTTTCTTACTTTAAATAATACATTATCTTCTTGAAAATTATTCGATTATATTGTCGATCACCCTATATGTTTTTACATGGTGTTATCATTGACGAGCGATGTACCGTATAACGGAGAGTTGTTCTTGAACCAGTATTCCCACGCGATTGTCCTCCGAACCGTATCCAAACTGTCTCTGAGATCCGTTTAACTAATTTTTTGTTTCTATTTATATATATATATATATATATAATTCTTTTATTATTATTTTCTTTTTAATTTGAAATACATAGACATGCGTGAAAGTGGTACCCTCGTTGGCAAAGAGTAAAAGTGGCAGCAGGATTATCTCGTAAATGTATTTTTATTTTTTAAAAATATTTTTGTTTCTATCTTTTTCAATTTGAATCATCTACTTTAAACGATTACTGTAATATTCACGACACACGGTTATCATAGTTATTCACGGGCATCCCATATCTGTAAACCTTTTACTACAGCAACATATCATAATAATCGATTGGTAGTTAAATTTATGGAAAATAAAATTCAATGTCGATAAGTGCAAGGCATATCACATTCATTTTACGAAAAGTTATCTTAAATAACACTGTCATCTCTAAAATATTTAAGTACTCACATGATAACACACATTAACACATTCTTTCTCAACTATAATAAAGTGATACATTTATATGATATAATTGTACTCATTGCTAAATGTAATTGTCAAATATTCACCATAAACAACCATAAGTAAGTTGGAGATAAAAAAAAAAGATAACTGTAAACGATTGTTTTGGCAAATTCCAAAATTTCGACGACCAAATTTGTCGATGCGTGCTTTAAACGCCCCCACGAATTTTTTCTTTTTTTCTTTTTCTTTTGAAAGAATCGAAACAATATCGGAGAAACTCTTCATCGATTTCCAAAAGCGTCGACCGATCTATTCTAACAGATTTTTTTCTTAAAACACGTAAACCGGTTTACTCAACGAATCAACTATTTCTTATATCGAACTTTACTCGTGAACGATTTTTACGTAAGACAGTAAACGATAATCGCGTTTTCATCGATCGTTTAGATTTCATCAATTGGAGAAACAATATTTAAAGAAAGAAATAAAAAATAAACTGAACAACTCCGACGTATCTTATATCTCGAGATTTCAATTAGATAAATAGCTGTACACTGTAGTAGTGTGTGGGAAAGTTAATAGAACAGGACTAAAACTAACTGTTCGACAAAAAAGAAAAAGAACACCAAGAAGAATAGAAAATAAATGTCGTACATATGTTATGCCAACACAAAAAGAAATCAATTTTATGCATACATATATCGAATGAATTTACAATCATATCTCTCATGAAAAATTAATTTAAAATGTTTTATTATTTCGTGATACATTGTCAAACGTTTTCAATTAACTTGATAGTTTGTTTTTAAGAACAAATAAAAAGTATGTAACTTGTCATAGAAAAAACATAACAAGCAGAAATCTTAGAAAGTTTAACACACATGTTAAATAACTCACCCTGTATATCCTCCATTACTTGGAAGTGACTCATTTTTAAACAGCGAGACTTTCTAATATTTACCCAAAGTACACTCACCGAGCGTGTTCAAGACTTAAATCAATAAGTATGCTATATATATGTATATATCGTTCGAGTAGAGAAAAGTTCTATATATATGTATATGTATTTTACATCTTTCAATTCTTTCTCTTGAAAAATAATGCGTCAGAGAAATGTACGTGGAGACATTTTCTTCAAGCAACAAGTATTTCATTTCTTAACCTCGTCCAAGACCTTGAAAATCATCCTAGAACGCATCAAGACGCAAGAATTTAAATGCTGCATAATTCTATCGTAACCGTCTATGAAAAATATTCTCTACGGATCATTAATTCGAAAAACTAGGAAAATTTATCTTCCTTAAAGAATCCAACACACATACACACAACCCTTTTACTTAAAAATATACTGCGTATACTTCTATCACACGGATTATTAATTTTAAAACGTTTATACGTGCTACTTACTGCCAGTCTATACAAAAAATTAAATATTACATACAATAGAAAATATCTAGATAAGATTATCTTTGATATCTAATGCAATTGGAATTTAAATATTAATTCACTAACGATTAATAATACTCATCAATTTCTTTTTTTATTTATTCAAATATTATTACATCATAAATTGAACTCTACTAAAATGAGTATTTTATACAATGTAACCAAAAAGAAAGTATGCCAAAAATTCCAATATTTCTTTAGTACTATTTTCAGTATTTTTTTTTTTTTTTTACTCTTGCGGCATTGACAACAACGACTGGCAATAGAAACAAAGCTTGTAAAAAAAAAAAAAAAGAAAAAAAGAAAGAAAGATAGGGGTAACAAAAATGAGGAAAAAGATAAGGGTTGTACTACTCTAATGTGTTGTCTCTCTCTCTCTCTCTCTTTTTTTGTTTTTCTATCCCTTTCTTTCTCATTTTGGAAGTTAGAAGGCGTTTTAATTGTACTCTCGTGCCCGTTAGCAGAGTTTAATCGGCCGAGTCCAGGTTCTTTGTGTGCTGTGTGTATGTGTGTGTCCGTAATACGTCTCATTTTTTCCCTTTAGAGAGAAACTTTGTCCTTTTATTTTCTTACTTGGGAAGGAAGAAGATCATGAGTCGGAAAATATGGGATGGAATGCATGTGCATCGTGCGGATCGGGGGATACGTTGTTGGGACAGTTAATGTCGTGTTGCGTTTCAGTAAACATGACAGCGACACGGGCAAAACGCAATTTTCTGCGCCCTGATGATGACGAAGTGGTTCCACCAAGTCCGCCTCTTCGTACAAAATTATATATGATCTTTATATAATATATTCATATATTAAATTCATATATATATATATATATATGTAGTTACTTTCACGTGTTATATTTCTATCCAAGTTATAACTGTTATTCGCAAATTATGGGAAAATGTAGCAAACCCTTTTCGTGTATACATTTTTGTTTACAATCAAAATTAAATTTAATGAAAAAAATCTAATTATTACTCTCTTTATTTTGTATTTTTTTTTTTTTAAATATTTAAGCATAAGTATAAAATTATTTTCTAAGTGTACGAATAATTTGCTCATCACCGTTACATCATCTAAGTTGCAATTAGTTAATAAAAAAACTGATTTGAAATCTACAAAGTACAAAAACGAATTCCCAATTATTAACTTAACAAAAATATCAAATAAGAATTTCTTCAAATCGTAAAATTTATGTAAAATTAATTGAATATTTCATTACGATACTATACCGCAATATTCCGTCACTGTTTCTCACAGTCATCTTCGCATCGTTCTATCTCGAAATTATGCGAATACCGCATGGAACGCAAATCTATCGCTTCTCGTTAACCACTGTCACCATAACCGCGTTCAACCGACTACCGTGCAATTCTCTCTATTTTTTTTAATTATACCAACTTGCCAATCTGCTCTGTGGTAAAATCAAGGTAACATTGTATTCTGTGATAGGTTTAAAATATATATTTAAATATAAATTATTTTATTTAATACACGACTTATTTAAAACTTTTTCTGTTTTTTTTTTGTCTCTCATCTTGTATTCGACAAAAGAGTTTTGTTACAAAAAGGTAATGGCGAAGAATCGAGGCGTGGTAATAAATGCAAATCCAGATATTCGTTTTCTCGACGTGAAAGATGCGGCCTTCTTTTAAAAAGCAACACAAAACAACTCGTTACGTGTCGTATCGTACCGAATACGAGCGATTTATTTTCAGATCATGCGTTCAGATCTATCCCATCGTTGAGTTTCAAATTTTCTCCTTACCTCCCTTCCACACCACCTCTCTTTCTTTTTCGATCAGATATATATATATATCTTTCTTCCGTCATCCTCAATTTTCAAAAAGTTATTTTCAACCAAAGTGTTAACGCTTGTTGTTTTTTTTTTTTTTAGAAGGCGTGTATGTGCGCGACAAACCACTTCTTCTTCCCCCCACCATCATCACGGAAAACAAATCAGGTAAATTTGATTATCTTCCAAATCGATCTACTGAGATTCTTTCCTTTTTTTTTTCTTGTCAATATTAAATTACTCCAAATAAGTCAATTTATGTAATTTAGGTTTGTCTACACCGAAGTTTCGCGCGGTTTTATGTGCTGTCCAGGTTGGATGCAATTTACACGTTTCAGTTATGGTTGCAATAAACGTAAGATTTTTTTTTTCTTTTTACACATTCATACGAACCTACACATATATTATAAGAAATATAATTAAAATATTTAATTTTTTGTAGCAACTTGTTCACCGTTATGTTTGAACGGTGGAACCTGCATTTCTCCAGGGAGGTGTATTTGTCCGAAAGGTTTTACCGGTAGCCAATGCCAATCGGGTAAGTCAATGCTTTTCATTGAAATCAAAAATATCTTAATGCGTGTAGAAATAAATGTTAAAAACTAAACTAGAAGTTAGGTATATCTATACTTTAAATTAGATTAGAAATATCTGTAGTTCTTTCAATTCTACACGAGTCCTGTAAAGTTTTGATATCCTTCTAAGGTAACTAGTAGTAAAAGTGCCTTACAAAGTTCACGATAATGACTCGACTGACGAATACGGGTCGTTAAATCATGAAATATCTAGAGTGTATCGATAGCAAACAACGATTACGCTTGGTGTAGCTAGGAATTGTTGAACGTAATTAAATCGACGCGGTGTGATATTCCGTTCGATAGCATTTACGCTTAGAGTGGTATACACATACATAATGGAACCAATGAGAAACCTATTTATCTATCTACAGGGTGGTCTATACAGCGCAAAAATCATTTAGATATTGCTGTTAATATTAAGAAAAAAAAAATAAAAAACACAGATGAAACAAAAATTACAATAAATACAATTCATAAAAATTAATTCAATGCAAATAACGTGCCATACATTTACTATAATCTCTTAACTATCTTTACAAATAAAATCATAGCAATTTGTATAAAAAAAAAAAAAAATAAACATAATTTCATTGAAAAAGATAACACGTGCGATATTTAACTCTAAAAAAAAAGATAAATTAATTGAAATTATATAAACCACCCTATAGGTTGAACATACACGCAGCTAAGTACCATGGTACTTACCTTAGACTATGTGTTTTCGATAGATTTACGAGCAATTATCGATAGGTTACACGAACGTTCTAATTACTCCTGGAACTGTAACAACATTTCCCGTAACACGATCATATTATTTTTGTTGATTGTTAGTTAACGATTTGTCGGTAGGAATGGAAAAGTTTGTCACTCGATTAAAATTATTTAGAGACCAGTTGAGAAAGATTTACGAAGCTTAGCTTGAGATAGGAACGACGACGACGACAACGAAGACGACGACGAGGATATATACCGGACGTTCCCTAATCCTCAACGTGCAATCGCCTTTTCGAAATTAATTGCTACGAGTTTGTAGTACATGCACGTTCGTACGTGCTAATCAAAACGAAGGTGTTACTATGCATATACGTGTGAATGCATATGCTTAGCTAGAATATATATATATACACATTAAATCAAGATAATTATTAAAGATTTTTTTAAAATTACGTCACGATATTAATATCATAAATATAGTTCTAATAATTTATATTTTTAAAAGACAAAAATCTATATAAAGTTTAAGAATTAATTCATATTTATAATTATCATTGCATGGTTTGACCCATATATGAGTCAGTCGAGAGCTTTGCATGGATGACCGGTATTATTATGGGTTGCTAGTAACGAGATGGTTAAAATAATTTATTTTTTTTTTTGATGCATATTTAAATTACAGACGTAGACGAGTGTGTGACAGAGAAACCATGTGGACAACTTTGCAGAAACTTACCTGGTAGTTACGAGTGTTACTGTAGACCCGGTTTTCATCTTCAACAAGATGGACAATCCTGTCGCAGAAACGGTAAGTTTTCATAAAGAGTTAGGATTTTTTTATAACACAGCACGAACTCTCTTTCTTGACCTTTTATCAAGTTGGTCAACGTTACTTTAAGTTGTAATTTTGTAGGCACCGAGGACACAGCTTTCGAGGCTCGAGATCTAGAGAACGACTTCCATGAATCGTTGACGTCGACGTCGACCACGACGACGAGTACCACGAGAAAACCAACTACCACCTCCTCCTCTCATGGTATGTATATATATATATTTATTTAAAGAGAGTGAGTGCTTCTCAGATATAAGTTAAAAATATCCAGCCGCAAAACTCTGTACGTTCTTCCTGTCCTCTCATCATCGTTTGGAATCAACAAATAATGACGTGTCCTCTCTCTTTCTCTCTAAATGTGATTTTTACTTCTTTTTTTGTAGATGTAGATAACGAAGTGGGGGATGTTGACCTCGATCAGGACTATGAAATCATCATGAGGAGACTAACTAAACTTGAAAAAGTATGTTCATCGTTGTAACATTGATTTTATTCTTTTTCTTTTTTAATTAAATATCAATCTATCTCAATTTTCTAAGAACTTATCAATGATAATTACTGAAATAAAATTTTATACTTTTTAGCAAGTGGCCAAAAATAAAAAAAGAGAAACCGAATCTACGGATATGAGCGCAAGAATTACTATGGCTGTTGAAAGTATAAACGATATGAGAAGAGCTGTCGAAAATGTGGTAAGATTAAGATCAATTATGATCTTACGTACATGAAATTTACAATATCTATGTAAAATATTAAAGAAGAAACTTTTACAAATTTTATTTCAGCAACTAATGCAACAAGAAATATATGACATGAGAAATAAGATGAAGCATTATGAGTTAGAGGCAAGGAAGGTACAACACTTAACGAATCGTGTAACAGATTTAGAAAGTAGGCTAAGAACACGTTGTAGACCTTCCTTAACACTGGATCCATAAATTTAAAAACTTATTTTAGATAGATTGTTGTAAAAGAACTCACGATTGTATTGTTATCGTGTTTGCATGAATTTCTCTTAGATGAAAATACGATGTACCGGTGTCACTGCCACTTTAGCATTTATACCTTAGTTAGAACATAGTTTGTATGTAATTTAAATATTATTTTACGAATCTTTGTACGCTGCTTTATAATAAAAACTATAATATAAACTAAATGTAAGGATATTTTCTTTTTCTTATAGATTAGTTATTAACTATTTCATTATGGCATAATTTGACTGCCAGGAGCGAATATGTTTTGCTCAGGAGGAAAGAATTCATTTATATATTTATAATATACGATTAGATGTTGTAAAATATCTTTTTAATCATCAATTTACAGCCCTCTTTATTTTTTTTCTTTAAGTGCTTTTTTTTGTCGCCTAGTTAATCTTTTATTTGTTTTGGTAGTACCTTTAGCAGCCTTCGCTCTTCCCTTTTTGTGCTTTAAAATTTTTCGCCTATTCATCCAAACTGGATAGTTTCCATATTGATCTCTTAACGTTTTCTTATTATATACTCTACCACTATCCACTTCCATTTCTTCTACATCAGCATTATCACTTTCCTTCGCTTTAGCACTATCTTTGATGTCATTGGCATTGACCACTATGTAAAATATCATATTTTTATAATTTATGTTAAATATAAAGAAATTATATATGAAAAAGTTGTATTTTATATACCTGTAGCAATCTCCGTAATTTCAGACATTTCAACATCCCCATTCTCATCGATGCCAAGAGTTTTTTTTAATTTTGCCAGTTCTTTAGCACCATAACGTTCTCTTTTAACTGCTCTGCATTTTCTTTTCCACTTGCTGCGTAATGATTTTGCCATTGTATAAATTCTTAAGAAGAAATATGAATTAATGAAATAAATGGTAACAATGTATAGGTTATAAATGAAATGTGCTTATAATGTTATGCATTAAAATAATGCATACAACATAACCTCATTCAAAAATATATTCTAAAGAATCGAAAATTTAAACTGTATTAGAATTTTTTAAATATAAATAAAAAATAATAATTACTTACTTAGTTTTTATAGTAAATATCCCTCTTGGTAAATATTGTAACTTTAATTATAATTAACAATGCACGCACCACGTGTTACTGCAAATAGCAATATTATAAAAGGAAACAATAGCGCCATCTACTGAGAAAATCCAGTTACCATCTTTCATATACTACAGCACCACATGCGGACAAAGCATGGATTAACTACTTAAATGAATGACGGTACACTACCATCAATGAATATAGTATTCATTGTAGTATATGATAGTACTCATTGATATACTATCAATGAATATAGTATTTATTGATAATATATGATAGTATTTATAGTAAAATTTTTTTTTAGTCAAAATCGATCAAGAATTATGTCTTTTTTCATATTTTTTATATCAGAGTAAGGAATAACATTAATTAAATAGGATAAGTATCCCGATTACTAGCGTTCTCTTGTGTTTATTGTACCAACTAAAGATAAAATGATAAATATTTTTTGATTAATAATACATATGTCTGATTTGCGGTATATCAGTTTAATCAATTGCTTAAACATTTAATAATTATGTGATATTTTTAATTAAGTATTTTTTTTAATTGTTATCTAAATAAACGAATTTTCAGTATGTACTGTTTAAATTTAAAATTGAAAACTTTCGAAGAAAATTATGGGGTAAGTTTTTGAAATTGTTTATAAACAGATTGTAAGCTTTATAAAATTATACGAATATATGTGTATGTATATACCGTGTATAATTGTAATAATAGATTATTTTAATTACATCATTATTTTCGTTAATTAAAAGTATACAAATACTTTGAACGCGGTACGTTTGTATTAATTTTTAATTAATATGTTTTATTTAGAAAATACAAATAATAATTTCGAGAAAATAATAAACAGAGAGTATTAATATAAAACAAAGATTTACTTCGACACAATTCAACGCGTGATTTTAACATGAAGATCTTTTACAACCAATTATTACTAATAACACGTCTTGTGAAATTAAGATATATACTTCCTAATATGTTATTACAGACATATACATGCATACACATACACATGTATAATTTTATACTTTCAATTTCGTCCGAAGACACTCCCAAGAAAGTAAACACGGACATTATCGTTATCATGCTTTGTAGAAATGATGATAATACATATATGGAATGCATTATATGATAAGTAAATATTTGACGAAGTTGAACATATATCAGATTGAATTTTTTTATATAATCATTTTCTACTCTATTTTTGTTCTATTTCTTTGAACAAGTTTTTCTTGATTATTAGAACGATGCATTCTACTTTCCACTTATTCGATTAGCATATTTCGTTTAACACCAATATACCAGTTTTAAATGTAAAGAAAAAAGAAAGGAAGATAGAAAATTGTAATTAAATAATAAATTATTCAAATTCGTCTACATATGTTATATGATAATACTTCGGGAAAAAATGTTGATCTAATCTAGTGATAGATCTAATAGATCTTAATAATCTCTATTCGTTGGAGCATGACAAACGAAGGAAATGTCTTAATAAAAAATTAATCGGAGCGAGGACAGCAATGTTTTTTACATATTCATATTGTTATACCTTTCACTTTACTATTATGTTTGACGATGATTATATAAATTCATTAAATCAAACGTAACTTGTATAATCAAAGTTTGTTCATTTTAAAAATTCCAAAAATAAACTCACGTGATTTGATTTAGATTCGAATAACAAAACATGAATGAAAATATTAAAAAAAGCTTCTATGTTATTGGTCAAAGTTTTTAGACGAAACTTTTTGGTCATCAAAATGAACAACGAATATGTTAAAAAAAATATAAAACCGTTTTAGAGACCACTTTACATGAAAATAACGAGACTGTCGCGTTGAGTAAAAAATAAAAATAAAAAAATTGTAAAAGTAAATGAAATGTGTCAACGAAAAAAAAAAAATTACGAGACGAGTATGTGATGGGGCTGGGTGTCGTTACACAGAAATTGTTTTCTATCACTGACAATGGGAGAAAAAAAAAAGTCTTATCAGTGAGTGTCAATGCTGTGTAAAAGCTATACGAAGAGAGTAAGTCGTTAATTTAGTAATGGATTAACTAAAGTGACGGAGAGAAGAGAGAACCCTCGTCGACGTGTGGGCAGACGACACGAGTCTCCTTTTTTCGCATTGTTAGTGCAATCGTTTGGATTGTCGGATAAAACGTCGGACGTTTCAGTGCATATAAAACCTTTTCGGGACGTGCTAACTTTCATCTTTTAACTAACGAGTAGTAAGTAATTTTTTTTCCAATTCAATTGCATAAGCACTTGTGAGAACCATCGAGACTTCAATCTAAAATTATTCGATGAAATTATTTTTGAACAATATTAAATTTCTATTTTTTTTTTTTTTTTATACGACGATATTTGATATTTTGTTTGTTATATGTAAATAATAAGATTATGCAAATGTTCGTTTCCTGGAAATTATTGGTGGAAGTTAAAAAGAGAGAAAAGTCAGTCAAGCATAATTTTCTTTTTAACAGACGGTCGTTCGAAATGAATGGCGCCAGTTAAACGTACCGTAGAAAAAGAAAGAGAAAAGGAGAAAGAGAAAGAGAGAGGCAAACTGCATCGATTTTCAATTAATGTCAACGAGTAAACATCAAGTTTGAATGAAAAATGCTAAGTGATAGCGATGCCTTTTAACTTTTTCAATTGATTATAATATAAAACGAAATGAAAAATAATAATCGTGTTAATATTCTCGTTAACGATATATATTTCAGCCTTGAATAATATATTTTTCTTATAAATATCAATAATATAATTATCAAAATTGAGAATTATAAAAAAAAACTGGTTTGTTAATTAAATTTCGTATTACTTTTTTATCTTTTTCTTCGTGACGAAATTTAAACCGTTGAGAGTTGAAATTTAAGTATAGTTTAATATAGTTAAGATTTTATCACTATTATCGGATTTCCAAATAAAATAGATAGACGTATCCGAAAAAAAATGATAACCGATAAAAAAAATAGTTAAAGATAAGTTCATAAAAGATTGCATGATTTATTAAAAAAAAAAAAAAACAACTTCCTCTAAAAGAATATCATTCTCATCGTTAAAAAATATAACAACGAATTGAACTGTATTGAATAAAAAGAAACTTCTCATTAACATTTTGTTCTCAAGATCGTAGACAACATGTCAGTCTCATTTAGAAAACTTTCATTAGCGTGACGCTACTTAAATTCTGACAAAAACTGAATCACTCGTTTATATCTTTCGGGTTACTTAATCGAAAAAAAAGAGAAAGAACAAGTCAAAAGATCAGGAAAAGAGTTTACAATTACCGGAAGAAGTTGTATCGCCGAATAAGTCGTTTCTTACCTTTAACATCGACTTCCTTCTATTTTTTTTTTCTTTTTTTTGAAGTGAAAACTTCTTTAGAATAGGGAGTGATTTGAAAAAAATGAAACACGGTCCGTCAGGAAACGGAGCGGTAGGCGGCGAGGCAACGGAGAGGCGGGCGGCTTTGTAACGGCCACGATATTTAGTAAAAAGAGAAAAAGAGATAAACATATAGGATTGAGCCTGCGAGAGAATGAGACAGAAAAAAGCTACATAGTTTTTTCTCTTCTCGGTCTCCTCTTTATGCTTTGCTTCGTAATGTCGCTCCTGGTTGTATATGTGTGTGTTTGTATGCGACTGCATACTACGAAGCGTAGACATATATTATTTCGATACTCAAAATGTTTGGAGGTAGAAGTGATACAAGGGTAGAAGAATAAACAGAGATAAGCCCGTAGGTATGCGACAAAAGAATAGGGTACAAATGAACCGACGGTCGAAATAAAAAATCAAAGTGCGTGGTCTGTTTTTTTCACCAAAAGTGTCATTCCTTTTCTATTTAAAAATGTTTTTATTTTATTGAAAAATTTATATTAAATTCTTTATTTCGCAAATATTATCATTAATAATTATAAAATGTATAGAATATAATAATTGTATTGTCTGCAATATTTTAAAAAAAAAAAAAAAAAATGATTTCAAGATACATCAGAGAAAAAGAATTAGACAACACTGTAGAATATTGTTCTTATAAATATTCAAAAATAAATCTCATAATAAATAAAAATAAAAATAAATTTCATATTAAATAATTATGAAATACATAGAATATATAATAATTGTATTGTCTGAAATATTWWAAAAARAAGAAGGATTACTAGATACATCAGAGAAAAAGAATTAGAGAACACTGTAGAATACATTAGGAGCAGCTGACAATCCACATAACGCGATAAGTTTTAAAATCTTTCAGCGAAAGTTTCGTAAAATATTTCCAAAAAATCTTTCAGAAACCTTGCAGGCATGATTCTGAAATATTTTGAAAAAGATTCATAAAAGATTTTACAAAAATATTTTAAAAACATTTCTAAAATATTTTACTGATAGAGTAATCTTTTGCAAGTCTCTGAACGCAGACATTTTCACCTTGTAGAAAGATTTTTTAGAAACCTTTTTGAAAGGTTTCAAGTTTTTCAAGAAATGTTTTAAAAAGTTTTTAGAAAGTTTTAATGTTATGTGGGAAATTCCATTCAAAAGCAAGTAAATTACTGTCGCATTTTTATTTTGCTTTTTCATAATATATATTTTATTCATAAAGAAAAAATATATGTCTATTAAATTTGATTTTTATATGTTTTTATAAAAAATATCCAAAGACATGCACTGACCCATGCATATAAGAAAATTATATTATTAATTGTAATATTTGCGTATTTAAGAAACTTATACTAATTTTTCAATAAAATAAAAACATTTTTATGATGTTGAACGCCCAGCGTGAATCGGTGGAGCTTACCACGGGGCTGAAATTTGAGACTCGTAGTGTACACAGTTCGATAAGCTGAGAGAGCGATACGATTCAATGCATTTTTTAGATTTTTCGTTGTTCAGGTCTTTATTTAGACGAGAGTATTTAGAAAGATAAGTTTGTGGTCCAAAGAATAAAGACGAGATATGTTATAAATAATAATGGTCTCGAAGTATGGCATGCTATAGAGTTGAAAAAAACATTTCTAGACAATATCTTTATTAGATCTCTCATTGCATTTTACCAGAACCTTTGTT